TTTTTGGGTCAAGACAGAGTCTCACTATGTTGCCCTTGGTAGAGTGCCAAGGTGTCACAGCTCACAGCAACCTCAAACTCTTGGGCCTAAGCGATTCTCCTGCCTCAGCCTTCCAAGTAGCTGGGACTACAGGCACCCACTATAACGCCTGGCTAACTTTTGGTTACAGTTGTTATTGTTGTTTAGCAGGCCCCAGCTGGGCTTGAACCCTCCAGCCTCGGTGTACGTAGCTGGCACCCTACTCACTGAGCTATAGGCACCAACCCTATTTTTTTGAGACAGAAATTTAGTACGGTGCCCTCGGTAGAGTGCTGTGGCGTCATCATAGCTCACAGCAACCTCGAACTCTTGGGCTTAAGCAATTCTCTTGCCTCAGCTTCCCAAGGAGCAGGGACTACAGGTGCCTGCCACAATGCTTGGCTATTTTTTTGGTTGTAGTTGTTTAGCATGCCCTGGCTGGGTTTGAACCCATCAACCCCAGTGAATGTGGCTGGCGCCCTAACCACTGAGCAACAGGTGCCGAGCCTGTTTTAGTTTTAAAAAATTTTTTCATTTTTTACTTAAGGTGGTTGGAGTCGGGGGGAAAGCATCCCACCTTTTCTTTGAGATGGGGTTCACTCTGTCACCTAGGCCCAAGTAGCAGGGCACCATCACAGCTCACTGCAGCTCAAGCAATCCTCTTTACTCAGCCTTCTAAGTAGTTAGGAATAGCTGAGATATGCTACAACACCTGGCTAATCTAAAAAGAAATATTTTTTAGAGACAAGGTATCACTGTATTGCCCAGGCTAGCCTTGACTTCTGGCTGCAAATAATCCTGCCTCAGACTTCAGAGCTGTTGGGATTACAGATATGAGCCACTCTTCTTGGCTCTTGTTTTGTTTGGAATTTCATCTGTCAGAAATGAAGCGTAAATAAAAAGAAAATTAAGACCATTTGATGGCTGTGGAATGGGCTGCAGTGAACCTGCAACAGACACTGAAAGCAGGGCCTTTAAAGACAAAGAACAGGAAGAGTAACTCTGACAATCTGACTGATTCTGCTCAGAGACAAAAAGATTACCTCAGCATTTCTTTTCAGTTCCTCAGCTTCAGCTTCTGTGTATTCCATATCAAAAACATCTTCATTTCCAGAGTCCTCATCAGAACCCAATGCATCCAGAAAAGAGTTGTTAAACTCTGAAAAACATAAAGACAAAATCTTGTAAAACATCTTGGAATTGACATAAAAGACATGATTAGGAAGATAAAATAAGCTTGAGGTACACATTTTATCATCTTAAGAAAACATAAAATAGGGCAGTGCCTGTGGTTCAGTGGGTAGGGCAAGGGCCTCACATACCGAGGGTGGAGGGTTTGAACCCAGCCCTGGCCAAACTGCAACAAAAAATAGCTGGGCTTTGTGGCAGGCACT